ATCATCATCATCATCATCATCATCATCATCATCATCATCAGCATCATCATAATCATCATCATCAGCATCCTCATCCTCATCCTCATCATCATCATCCATCATCCTCATCATCATCATCATCATCATCATCAGCATCATCATCATCATGATCATCATCAGCATCATTATCATCAGCATCATCATCATCAGCATCATTATCAACAGCAGCATCATCATCATCAGCATCAGCAGCAGCATCATCATCAAGATCACCCTCATCACAATCACCCTCATCATCATCATAATCATCAGCATCATCATCATCATATCGTCGTCGTCGTCATCATCATCAGCATCATCATCATCAGCAGCATCATCAGCATCATCATCAGCAGCAGCATCATCAGTATCATCATCATCATCATCAGCATCATCATCATCATCATGTTCATCATCACCATCAGCAGCAGCATCATGACCATAATCAGCATAATCCTCCTCATCATCATCATCAGCAGCAGCATCATCATCAGCATCAGCATCACCATCATCACCATCAACATCACCATCACCATCAGGATCACCATCATCATCATCACCATCACCGTCACCATCACCGGCAATATCACCATCATAATTTCATCACCTATCATCAGCATCACCATCCTCATCAGCATCATCATCAGCAGCAGCATCATCAGCATCATCAGCAGCATCGTCATCGTCATCAGCATCAGCATCAGCATCATCAACAGCAGCATGATCATCATCATCAGCATCAGCATTAGCAACATCATCAGCATCGTCATCATCATAATCCTCATCATCATCAGCGTCATCCTCACCATCATCATCACTATCATTTTCATCATCACCATCATCATCATCACTATCAGCCTCATTCCAATATTCGACATCCAGCTGGGACATGCGCGGCAGTGTGGGGGGGGGCTGCCTCTGTGGCGCATCGGCACAGCATATAAAGATATCACCGAAGAGGCACAGGACAGCCAGCTTGGCACAGTCACGAGCCAGCGCCGCGCACGCAGGAACTTGGATTGTCGCTTCACGCGCAGACGCAATGCGTAACCCTGGCATCGCTCGGACGTCCATACCCTGTGTGTCTCTCTTGTCTCGTGCGCGGCTTTTTCGCCGGATGATCCAGGATGCTCCTCGAGGGCCCTCGCCGAAGGAAACATGCACACGTCCGAGCGATGCCAAGCAACCCCATGCAGGTCTTCGCGTCGGCCTCTGCGCCTGGCTCGCGGGGCTGCGCGGTGCCAGCATCCCCGGGACGCGCCGCGCCGACCCCGCCCTCTGCCGGCGCGCGGAGCACGCCAGAAGGGTCCGGCGCCGGTCCGAGAGATCTGGTGGGGGGCCACATGCGAAGGATTGCAAAAAAAAAAAAGAATTGCAAAAAAAAAAAAAACTACCCCCCACGATTTCGGAGGGGGAGGGTGGGGTTCACTTCGCTCGAGAGCTCCAGAGCGAAGCGAACCCCACCCTCCCCCTCCGAGATCTTGGGGGGTAGGGGCAGGGTTCGCATGTGGCCCCCCATCTGCACGGACCTCCGAAGGTGTGCCGTCCACTCGCACAAAGAAGGACGCACGAGGAGTACAGGCGGGTTATGGCGCACAGGACGCGCGGCAGGACACGAGACGCTTCCGACGGCAACATGGCCTCCAAAACCACAGGACGCAAGGGTAGCCTGCCAAGGGTACCCCCATTCGGCCGCAGAGGACACGACGCGCGATGCTCAGGGCACAAGAGCACCCTCTTTTTCGCAGGGCCGACCTACCAATGGAACCCGACTGTATGCAAGGGCCTTAGAATGCCATGTCTATGCGTTGCGAGCGCGGCGCGGCCAGCGAAGGCGGCTAAGGATGAGCCGAAGGGGAAGGATGCAAGGGCAACCTTGGAAAGATGTTCATCCTTACTATGCGGGTTGACTGTATCCTTATGCCGATGTGTCCCTCGATGTACGGAGAGCTGCAGAGCCAACCTCCGCGCAAGCGAAGACCTCCAGCAGGCGCACAGATTGAACCGAACGGAACAGCACTCTTCAGTAAACGCCCAGGACTGCTCAGTAAACATCAGTTCTGGGCGTCTGTTTCTTCCTGCATCGAACCCAGACGTTCACCCAGACATCGGACGAAACCAGACAAGGCGCGGCCCCAGTAAACCCGGCCCCTCTGGGACAGCGTTCATTCCGAATCCATGTCTGATGACCCCCGGGGCTCGACAACGGGCCCCCAACCCAAGGCCGAAATCGACGGAAAACGCTGGCCGATGCATCGGCGACGCTGGCGATGCATCGGCGACGTCGGCGTGGATCAAGTCGGGCTCCACAGCGAGCCGCATCGCCGATGCCTCGGCGATGCGGCGCGTTCCATGGACCCCATCACTTCGGACCCCATGAGTGGCGCCTGGGACATCGCCGGAGATCTGGGAACATGGGCGGAGCCAACCAGCGTGCTCCCCAGGCGTCCTGGGCTCGGCCGCGCGGCGGAGGACGAGTACCGCTCAGCCGATCCCCACCCCCCGCGGCGTGGCCTGGGCCCCACTGGCCGATTTGCCCCCCTTGCATGGAGATGCAGGCCGTTCCCTTCGGGCTTCGAGGGGGGTATCCCCAACTGGGGTGGCAATTTGATGGGGGCCTCGAAGGGGATGGGGATGGGGATGGGCATCGGTGAAACGATACCCAGCGGAGGGAGAAGGAGAGGCGCCCGCCGCGGGCTCGGCCCTCGCGCGGCGTCGGGCGCCTCGGTGCAGCAGCACCGCCAGGTCCTGCGCCTCCGGGGAGGCGGGCTGGGCCACGTTCCCGATGACCTCCGCGGAGACCTACGGCGGGCCCACACGGGGAGTCGCGCGCCGGCGCGGGGGGGAGGGGGCGAGGGGCGGGGGGAAAGGCGGAGGGAGGGACGGCGGGGGGGGAGAGGGTGGAGGGGAGAGGAGAGAAGGGAGATCGGGGGGGGAGGAGATGGAAGGGGGAGGGGAAGGGGGGGGCAGAGGGAGGAGGAGAGGGAGAAGGAGGAGGAGGAGGAGGAGGAGAAGCAGGAGGAGGAAAAGGAGGAGAGGGAGGAGGAGAGGGAGGAGGAAAAGGAAGTGGGGGAGGAGAAGGCCATTGTTGAAGGACCGCGAACTCTCCGACCGAGGAAAAATAAAGTAATACCACAAATTGAAATCCCGCATGTGAAACACAATACTCGAGAGAGGCGGCGGCAGTTCTGGACATGATCAGCGGACAGAGACAAGATCAACAATCACATTGAAAACATGTGGAAAGGACATCCCCGATCATCCCCCGCGGACTTCTCGAGCAGAGCCAGGAACGCGCCCAAAGGGGGACGGCTCCTCCTTCTCCGCCTCCATCTCCACCTCCTCCTCCTGCTCCTCATCCTTGGATAAGGGCTGGTTGGCGACCACCACTTGCGATACACAACAGCGTGGCTACGGGAACCCGCGGCCATGTGTGCAAGATCAAGGGTGTACTGATTAGGGTCACGGCTCCCAAACCTACGGCCTCAGGGCCAATAGCGCAAAAATCAAATCGGCACTGCAGAATTCGTGCATGTGAGACCCGCCGTAAAGCCCGCAATGGCATGAGTCAGGTTCGACCGAGCTCCAGCATTGACACCATCGATTCAGCATGCGAATTAGCACCGCGCACGTCTGCATGACCGAGTTGCTCTTGACCTCACGGCACACTACCTTACCCGATGCCTGAGGCACTGTGCTGGATTGCTCCAGAGACACGCGACAACTCACCATGGCATGCGGCGTGGGCTGGCATTTCGATTCGTATTGGTGTCATATGGTTCCATCTGGCTTCGTCTTGGCCCGGCATGGTTTCGTATGATGTCATGTTGATCCCGTATGGTGTCACATGGTGTCATACTGGTTTATCTGGCTTCACCTAGGTACGATTGGATTCATCTGGTTCCATCAAGCCCAGACTCGCTACACAGGCCTGATGTGTCTAATTGTATGTACTAAATCAACCATGAGACGTGTTCAACCCAGCCAACGTCAAAAACATTCGCCCTCGTCTTTGTTTGAGCTGCTTGTGCTGTAAGAGCCATCTGACTGATCCACAGATGGGCTTAATCTGGATACATGCTAGACTCTTCACACTGCTTTGAATTCGCCCTCTGCCAGATCAACTGCCGAGCGGGCCGTCCGAGCCTTTCAAGTCCTCACAAAACACCAACAAATCCAGACTTTACCAAATCTGCTACGACGGAGCAAACTGTTAGGGGCCTGCCTGCATTGCCTCGGCGCTCGTGTGTCTGCGTGTGGCTCCTCTGGTGGTTTTTGAACTGTTGACAGGGTCCTCAGAATTATCACCATCCATGTCGACGTGCTCGGTAAGAGGAGCACTGTTGGGCCAGCACAATGACGACAAATATGCAGCTAGTGTTCACCACGAGTTTGGCAACATTCATGTGAGTGTAATCGCGCGCGCGCCCTGAAATACTGCACTCGCATGCCTCCCGATTCTCTATAACTACCCGCCAATTTGAGAATTCCACCGTAGCTAACATATTCCAGGTACGCGCGTAACTTGTTTAAGATTGGCGGGGCAAAACGCATCAGGGCCCCGAGCCACCCCCTTCCCATCATCGAAAGCATAATCATCGCCGGAACCCTCCTCCTCCCCATCAGAAATATCGCCACCAGTATCGTGAGAATCAGCATCATCATCAGCATCATGATCATCAGCATCATCGTCATCATCACCATCACAATCGCCATCATCAGCATCAGCGTCAACATCATCAGCATCATCATCAGCATCAACATGCGCATCATCATCGCCATGATGATATTATCACCACCATCAGCATCATCACCACCACCACCGCCATCATCACCATCATTACCAGCAGCAGCATCATCAGCAGCAGTCACTACATCATCAACAACATGATCACCATCACCATCATCACCATCGTTATCACGATCATCATCGCCAGCATCATCATCATCATCTCCATCAGCACCATCGTCATCACCACCATGAGCCCATTCTCCTCCACCTCGACTGCTCCCTATCATATCCCCCTTTTCCTCCTCCACCTGCTCAGCCTCTCGCTTGCGTATCTTCCAACTCGTCATCCTCCTCCTGCTCATCCTCCTCCAGCTCCCCATCATCATCATCATCCTCAGCATCATCAGCAGCAGCATCCAGCAGCATCATCATCACCACCATCAGTAGCATCATCATCGTCGTCATCATCATCATCATCATCATCCTCATTATCAGCATCATCAACATCATCCTCATCAGCATTATCGTTAGTATCGTCGGTAGCATCCTCATCATCGTCCTCGTCCTCATCCTCATCCTCATCCCAGCATTAGAGCATCATCCAAATAATCAGCAGCATCATCATGAGCAGTATCATCAGAATCATGATCATCAGCAGCATACGCATCAGCATCATCATCGTCATCGTCGCACGTCAGCGTCATCGGTATCGTCATCGCCATCGTCAGCATCATTATCATCAACAGCAGCATCATCATCGCTAGCATACTAGCATGATCCACATCATCATCAACAGCATCATCATCATACTCATCATCATCAGCAGCATATGCATCAGCATCAGCATCATCGTCATCGTCGCTCGTCAGCGTCATCGGCAACGCCATCGTCAGTCGCATCAGTATCGTCATCATCATCATCATCATCATCATCATCAGCCTTATCATCACCATGTTCACGAGCATCATGCTAATCATCATCATCGACAGCGAAAGCAAACTTCATCTGCAGCAGCATCAGCATCAGCATCAGCACCAGCATCACTATCATCAACAGCAGCAGCATCATTATCATCACCAGCATCATTATAATCACCAGCATCATCATCAGCAGCTTCGTTAGCATCAGCATCATCGTCAACATATCAGCAGCAACAGCGTCGTCGTCGTCACCGTCGTCAACATCAGCATCACGGGCATCATCATCATCATCACCATCAGCAGCATCATCACTATCATTTGCATAATCAGGATCACCACCATCACCATCACCACCACCATCATCAGCATCAGCGTCAGCATCAACATCATCAGCATCGTCTTCATCATCATCAGCATCCTCATACAACATGGGAATTTGAAAATCAGAAGTACTACAATCACTTAACCATTCGAATCATCAACATCACCATCATCACCATCATCACCATCATCGTCGTCGTTTCCTCCTCGCCTGCTCCCCCATCCGCCTCATCCTCATCCTCTACGTCATCCTTTCGATCATTATCTGCCCTGCTCCTGTTGCTTATGCCCCCTCCTCCTCCTCCTCCTGCTCCTTCTCCTCCTCCTCCTCCTCCTCCTCCTCCTCCTCCTCCTCTTCCTCCTCCTCCTCCCCTTGTGCTACGTTGCGCGGAGAAACGTAACAGAGCTGGAGCGGCGGTGCGGTAGACAATGGCGCAACCAATCGACTCAGGCGGGTCGGCCTGAGTAACAGAACTCCTCCTCCTCCCCCCAAAAAAAACAACTCCTCATCTTCCTCCTCCTCCTCCTCTTTCTGCTCCTCCTCCTCTTCCTCCTCCTCCTCCTGGAGCTCCTCCTCCTCCTCCTCCCTCCTCCTCTTCCTCCTCATCCTCTTTCTCCTCCTGCTCCTGCTTCTCCTCGTCCTCCTACTCCCCTTCGCCCGCTGCTGCTCTTCTCGCCCCCCTCGCTCCCCTCGCCCTCCTCCCCGATCCCCGCCCTCGTCGCCCTCCTCCCCTCGCTCTCCTCCTCTGGCCTCCTCGCCGATCCCCGCTCCCCTCGCCCTCCTCCCCTCCCTCCCCCCGCCATCCTCCCCCGCCCGCTCACCCCCGCTGGATCCCGCGGCCGACCCGCCGGGAGCGCGCCGCGGGGAGGGCCGTCTCTGCATGCACTTGCACGTCGGTCGGAAGTACGCCCTGCGAAATGCTTAAGAAATCATGGGCTAAGAAATTCATAGTCTCAGAATTTGAATAAAAAACCCAGACTGTCGATTCAAATCTTGGGATTTGCATTGAAACATTAAGAATAATCGAGACTCTGGCCGAAAACTGGGGTCTTCTTAAGCATCGCCTAGAGTGTTGGTTGCAAACATAGGAAGGCGGAAAAAGGAGATTGGATCTGGGCCCTGCCTGAGAGAACCAGAGCACGGCAGGTTCGATCGATCACTAAGGTAGGAGGCCCTTGAACTAGACTGGGGATCTGGGAACCCCTGCGTACCTGCTTTCAGCGACTGGCACGTACGCCTGCGACTGCGCTGGCCTCCGCGTCCGATTGCGTGTCTCTGCATCCCTGCCCAGAGGCCTCCGGGATGGGGTCGGAGTAGACGGGGTCGGAAGATCGCGCCGCATCGCCAATGCATAATCGATGCATCGGCGATGCATCCGCGACGTCGGCGATGCACTGGCAACCTCGACGTGGAGAAAATCGGGCTCCACATCGCGCTGTGTGGAAACCCCGCGTCCTGGGCCGCTGCTGCGGTCTCGACAGCACGCGGGCGCAGCTGGGACCAACCTGAGACAGTGGCAGGACCGCCTGTGGAGCCGCCTGGGCAAGGCTCCCTGGCGAATGCGTCCAATTCGCCCCTATCGTCGCCTGCGAGACGAGGCTGCCTGCTGCAGATGCCACATTGCGCCGTATCGCAGATGCATCGGCAATGCGGCGCGATCCTCTGATCCCATCTGGTCCGACACCACCTCGGAGGCCTAGAGTCTCTGCCTCTCTGTCCCTTTCTGTCTCATATTAGGTCGGGCATGTCCCCCTACAGGGGGATGTTGGAAGATCATAGCCAACAAATACCCCAAACATGCTCGAAATAGTCAAACAAAAATCGTCCCCAGACTAGTTTGAACACTCCTCCTGTAGAGGGACAGGCCTGACTTAAGTCTCATACCGTCGAGCTACTGCCATAAGGAACACGAAACAAGGAACGAAACCCCTTGCTGGCACCAATGTCGCGAAATGCACGAGAAGCGCTGCGGGAGCAACCGTGGAAGCATCCAAAGAACAGCGAACCCCTTGCGAAACCGAACTTGGGGAAACCGAGAGATACCGATACCGATACTCCCCAGACCTCTCCCGAGGTGCGTTCTGACCAGGATTTCGGGGCGAATCGCCTCCCAGGAGGCCCCCCAAAATGGAGAACGAAGCAAAGGTCGCGAGCGGTGTGGGTACCCTCCCCTCCCCTGAGAAGTGTTCCTGATCTCAGCGTCTGGCTTGTGGGTCACCCCTTGGCAGGCTCGCGTTTTGTCGACCCCGTCGTTGGTTCCGGACACCGCGAAGCTCCTTCAATTGGCGGCGCGCACTAGGGGGTGGGGGGAGGGGGGAGGGCTTCTCAGAAGAAGGCTGCTTCTGAGAAGGCGCCGGCCTTACGTCTTCAGATAAGGCCCGCGCCTTCTGAGAAGCAGGGGTGCCTCTAAGAAGCCATCCCCCCTCCCCCCACCAGACGGAGGATGATGAGGAGGAGGAGGAGGAGGAGGAGGGAGAGGAGGAAGAAGAGGAGGAGGAGGAGGAGGAGGAGCAGGAGAAGGAGGAGCAGGAGAAGGAGGACAGGTGAATGAGGAGAAGGAGGACGAGGAGGAGGCCGTCGTGGCTCTCTTCTTGTGCGAGCGATCGGCCCAAAAGGACACTCCGATGCTGGGCCACGGACGGCGCCCCGCCCGCAACGCACGCGCTGGGGTCGCCGCCGGTCGACGCGGCGCGAGCCCACCGAGACTTCGAGGCCCCCGCGCCGCGCGAGCGGAGCGCGCGATGGTCTTCGAGCCCTCGGGTCCTGGGTGCCTCATCTAGGGCTCCCAACTTCGCGCTTCGCGCTGCGCGAAGCGCGAATAACTTCGCGCTCTCGCGCCGCCCTCCCAAAGGGAGAATAGGAGGACGAGGAGGAGGGGGAGAAGGAACGAGGACCGCGAAGCGCGAAGCGCGAATAACTTCGCGCCCTCGAGGGAGCCCTTGCTCATGAGGCTGGGTGGGGCGTCTTGGGGGCCTCCAAGGAGCTTCGTCGGGCCTCTTGGGTGCCTCGTGGGGCCTCTTGGGGCTCGTGGAGGCGTCTTGGGGGCCTCTCGGGGATGCTTCAGATGCTGCCTGAAGCCATTTTGGAGCCGTCGTGAAGCCTCCGAGGCCCATTAGAAGCGGAGGTGGCGAATGTGAAGGATGTTGACGTCTCGCGAGCATCCTGGAGGGTCTCTGGAGGCACTTTTGGGCGCTCTTGGGACCCCTTGGGACCGTCTCGGAGCCATCTCGGGTACCCCCCAAAGGAAGAGGACGGCCGCACTGCCCGAGGCCCGCGCTGCGCGGGCGCGCTCGTCCTCGCGCCCCCGCGCCGCCGACCTGGAGGAGAAGGGCAGCTCGGCGGCCCGCGACGCGCGACGTGCGGAGCGAACGACGCGCGGGCGACGTGGCCCTCCAGCTGCCTCCTGCTCAAAAGAGGCCCAGAGACACGCCGCCAAAGGATTTCTGATGTCTGTCCATACGTGTTCGGGATGTTCGTCTTCTCCCCCCCCCCCCAACACACACTTCTCATACTTCCCCCGGTTCTCCAGGGGATCGACGATGATCTGTGTCTGTGCCTGTTTGTCCCTCCTGATCTGCCCCTATCCGCCTGCCCAGCGCTGGCGCTGCGGCAGCGGGGAGAGGCCTCGAGGCGTACAGAGAGTCCACACCACGAGGAGGAGGAGGAGGAGGAGGAGGAGGAGGAGGAAGGAGAAGGAGGAGGAGGAGGGAGGAGGAGGAGGAGGAGGGAGGAGGAGGAGGAGGGAGGAGGAGGAGGAGGAGGAGGAGGAGGAGGGGCAGGGGCAGAGGCAGCGACGAGCGGAGACGGACGCAGACACGGGCAGAGGCAGACCGTCTGCGAAAGCGCGCGTGCGAGATCGCACCGTAACCCTGAGGACCCTGGGATGCCCACTGACATTGGCGGGGAAACGCCACGCTGTCCACAGCAGCACCGTCGAAACCGAAGAGACCCAGAGCACCCTGAAGGCAAGCAGGGTGCTTCTTGGCCCGGGCTTCCACTGTATTGAAGGGGCCCCAGGACACACAAATAAAGACACAAATAAAAGCATTCCCCATGTTTACCCATATCTTCAGAGCTTTTGTCTTGCCCACCACTGACCATATTTTCCCATATGTTCTAGGGAATCGACGATTGATTGTGTCTGTGTGTTTTTTCCCCTCCTGATGTTTGTTCAGCACAGCGTGGCTCCCCAGCGGTCCCCGGACTGCTTCTGGGGAGGGGGGGGGCGGCTCTTGCTCCGGAGCCGCTTCTAGAGGCTCCCGGGGCCCACCGTGGGGCCCCTCGGTCCCGAGAATCGCCAAGAGCCTCCCGTCGCTACCCCTCCACGACGCGAGGAAGCCAGGGGAGGCAGAGACGTTCCCAAACATGCGATGTCCAAGTGTTTGTTCCATGCGGGGTTTCGGGGATGGACAGCCCCCCTTTAGTAAAACGTGGTTTAGTGAAAACGACCTG